ATCTGCCGCCCTAAGGCCGCCGCTTCCCTCCCCGCGGCTCTCCCGGTCCGTCCCGGCCCCGCTGCTTTCCCCGGCGCGGAGGAGGCACCGGACCTCGTCCGGCCTTCGTGTGCCTCAGCTGCAGCCCTGTTTGGCCCTCGTGTTCCCTTCTTACCCTTCTGGGTCACCGGCGCCGGGGTGATCCAGCCCTGCAGGGATGGTGGGAGCATGCGTTACCCCCCGGCACACAGCAGGAAGGGGAGCCTGGCCCGAGCCGTCTCCGCCAAGGGCTCTCCCTGACGCCTTTAGGCTGCGGAGAAGCGCCCTGTGAACGGGCCTTGCTTCTGCATTTCGACAACCTTCACCTAGAGGAAGTAGCTCTGCCTTTGTGGTGTGTACGGTCCTTAAACCTAGGCCTTTCCTATAGGTGAAGTTCCTTTGCTGTGGTTTCTCCCGGTACCTCTCAGGTGGGCATGTGTGCGAGCGTGCTCTGACCCTTCGTGGGCAGGCGCCAGAACGCCCTGAAGATGCCAGAGCTGGAGGATTCTCCTGGCTGTAGGCTTTTGTCCTCTCCTCTGCCAAATTGCTATCTCTTGGGATTCAGGCAATATCTTCCCGCTTAAAATGTCCCTTAAGTGGATTTTTAATTGTTAGCATAATTTGAACAGTTGTGCGGTGTCGGGTCTCCGAAGTCCTGGTCTGTTACCGGGAGGCAAGAGGGAACATTGTTCTTGTGCTGACCCACTCTGTATGCGGGACCCCTGACGTTGTTGGTTCTGGCTATGCCAGCACTGCGCCTGTCAAACTCTTGCTGGTGCTGGGTTGCCACGTGGAACTGGAAACGGGCGCACTGGTGCAGCCCGGTGTGTTCCGAAGGCCAAGGGCAGTCGTGTGAGCAAGGCAGGGGAGCCCCAGGGCTGCTCAGCAGCTCCTCCCTTACAGCTGTGCTTGCTCTCCTCCTGGCGATTCAAACAGAGGAATCTGCCCCTTGAAAAGGCATCAATTCTCTTATCAAGCAGCATCAGATCAGATTTAGAAAAGGTGTTTTGAATGTTGACTTTGCTAACTGCTGTCAGTCACACAGACAGCTCTGTGTTCTTCTTCCCATCCCTGTCTCTTTTACCCCGAAGGAATACTGAGCTTTTAGGTCTGCCGGATTAGGGTCTTCTACCTCTGCTTTGCTGCTGAGGAACGGTGATTTTTGGACCCTCTGTGAGCGAGACAGCTGGAATTTTGTGCTTAGTGGGGAGGTTGCTGGGTAAGAAAAGGAATGGAAGGGGCAGTGGCTGCTTCTTCTCGTCGTCGTGATGACATCAAGAACGCAGCTTTGTAATTTGAGGCGCTGGGCCCAGAGAGGCATGAGGTGGCGAGCAGAGTGCTCAGCCAGGACTTAATCTGTCAGGTGGGAAGGAGTGAAACATGACTGAGAGTTTGGAGTTAAGTGTCTGACCTTTTTGCAGGCTGCGGATACCTTGGCTGTGCGACAGAAGCGACGGATCTACGATATCACGAATGTCCTGGAAGGCATCGGGTTGATCGAGAAGAAATCCAAGAACAGTATCCAGTGGAAGTGAGTGACAGAGAAGCTCTAAATCCTTCACAGGTCCCTTCTAGTCCCAGGTCCGGTCGGGTGGGTGCCTGTTCCCTCTTCAGGCAAGCAGAGCTTTGTGAGGCTGTTGTCTCAGTGACACTGTGGTTAAAATGCCCTGCTCAGAGCAGGGTCCCTCCGTGATCTGTGCATGCTTGTACTTCTCCCAGCTGGGCTGTGCTGGTGAGGAAAGCTGAAGTATGTATGGCTTGTCTCTTCTACAGCAGAGCTGTTATTTTGGTACGGATGAAGTATTTGCAGCACCTTGGGCTAGAAAAGATGCCTGTCCTGGCACTGGAGGTGGGGGAAAGCCCTTCCAGTCCGTGGGATGTAGGCAGCTGTAGCAAACGCTGCTGTGCTGGAAGGTGGGGATCTAGAACGGGTACGGATGAGGCTTTCCAGGCCATCTGGCCTTGAGGTATGGCAGGTTTGGCAGCGAGGGACGTGGTCACTACAGGAAAGACATTGCATTGCTAGAACGTGTCCAGAGAGGGGCAACAAAGCTGGTGAGGGATCTTAGGCTGATGGGGAGCGGCTGAGGGACCTGGGGGGGTTCAGCCTGGAGAAGAGGAGGCTGAGGGGAGACCTTATCGCTGCCTACAACTGCCTGACAGGAGGGGGGAGCTGGGGG